TTGAGTATTCTTACCCATTATTTCATATAGGTGGGCTTTCCGAAGGTTTATCATAATTTGTGGCAGATTATTATCTACGAAGCCGAAAATACTGATAACCAAAAAAATGCGAAGATCTTGAAAGACTTAGAAGACCAAAATAAAAAAAAAAAGCAGAGTTCTTCTAGAAAGTAATAAAGAATCAGAAGAATGCCAGCAAGATTTTCCGCACTCAATAAGACATATGCCTATTAAAAATATCGACAATATATTAAAATGTTCATCAATACCATCAATTATTGTATTCAAGGCAATTGATCCAGTCTGTAGCGATGTACAAATGTTCTCCAGTACTTCACATAAATTATCTGAAAATTCCAAGAGTAAGGCAAATATACATTCGATAAAAAATAAAATACTTGAAATCAATTTACCATCACAAGAGATGTTTTCATTAATAAAATTGAATAAGGAGCTGATAGAAGATAAGAAAAAAGCTTCCTCTATGAGGAAGCAAAAGAGGAAAACGAGAAAAACGGAAAGAGAATGAAAATAATGGAGATAGAGCACATGGAGGAAGGATTACCATCACAAGAGATGTTTTTATTAATAAAATTTAATGAGGAGCTGATGGAAGATAAGAAAGAAGGGGAAAACGAGAAAAACGAAAAGGGAATGGAAATAATAGAAATAGAGCACATGGAGGAAGGGAAGGATACAATGATGATCGGAAAAAAGGGCGATAGAAGAAACATACGTCCAAAAAGAGCAAATACTGAAAGCGGAGCATCCCGCTTTCTTGGCATGTAATTAATAAAGAAACTGGGGAGAAAAAAGGTAGTGAGGAGGACAAGGAAGAAGAGATGAGACGGAGGAAATGAAGGGACGAAAAAGAAGAAAGAGTAAGAGAAGGGGAAAAGAAATGAAGAATGGGGAAAGAAGGGAAGACAAAGAAGGAGACGGAGAGCAGGAAGGAGGAGAGGGGAAGAGAAGAGAGAAGAGGCAAGAAAAAGGAGACTAGGAGATGGCCAGAAAGAAGAGAAGAGGAAAAGGAAGGAAGAAAGACGGGAGGAGGCAAGGAAGAAAAGGAGAAGGAGAAGAAGGAAAAGAGAAAAAGAAGGGAGAAAAGGAGGAGAAACACGATATGGAGAGGAGTAAAAGAAGAGAAGCCAGAGGAGAGAAAGGAAGCGGACAAGGGCATGATGGAGGAAATTCTAGAAAGAAGGGTAAATATGGGAGGAGTAACGGAGAGAGTAGGAGAGGGAGGAAAGAAGGTGATGATTGTGGAGTTAGAAGAAGAAGAGGACAGGAAAGAGTTACGGAGAGAGAGTACGAATTAAGGAGGGACTGGGGAGTAGGAATAGATGAGGACCTGACTATGGAAGAAAGGAAACTAAGATGGAGGTTAATAGAGAAGGCGAGGGAGGAAAGAAGAAAAGGAAAGTGCGTGGTGGTGAACAATAGGAGACTGTGGATCGAAGGGAAAGGGTAGAAGTGAGATAAGGAGAGGAAGAGATGGAAGGAAAGAAGGGGAGATTAGGAGAAGGGGGCAGAGGAGAGAGGAGACAAGATAGGGAGAGGAGGAGATGAAAGGAGTAAGGACAGTAAGAAAGTAAAGATATTGGAAAGTTATATGGAAAAGTGTAAATTGCAACCCCATTGGGGAGACAATAAAGATTATTCATTCATTCATTCATTCATTAAGGTAAACGTCCCAATAGCCGGACATGTAACGATACTAGTACGATTTTGCTCAATTTTTATAAGTACTCACGGTTTTTAATGATTTAATTATGTAACCAATTGAAAGGTAAAATATAAAAGCTTATTATTGACGCATAAAAGACATGAAAAGTGTTAAAATTATTTTAATAGTAATAAAAATTTTAAAGCATACAAATGAACTAATATCCGGACACATCGAAAATGCTTGTCCCAATTCCTAAACTTTTTCGTCCCAATATCTGGACACGTTTATCATGTAAATAAAATGAAATGATTTCTAACGATTTTGTATATATAGTAACTATAATTTATTTATGAACTCACAGATGTGGAATAATAAGGAATTATTACGCAATAATCTTGACGGATAATGTGTCGCTTTTTACATGCGGTTGTCAACCGCAATTCGCGCATTTCCTTTAAAGACTGTTTTTAACATACACATAAAATTATGAACGTAGTTCGCATAGTTGGATTAGAATAATTACTTTTGTTATACGCATTGTTAAAAGCATCCGCCGTACACCGTTACGTGTCTCATCTGTTACTCTCATTCTCCCGTGTCTCTAATGCCTTTATGACAAAGTGGCATTCGTGCCAAAACGGCATGTCAGGAATCGTCGGAGTCAGTCGTGTCACGCGATAGAACAAGATATTCCGACGGTAATGTTCTCGCCCTTTACCGCATGCCCGACCCTTCACTCGTGACTTCAACACGCGAGGATTTCGAATTTTTTTGCCGCTTGAAGCGACTAGTCGTGAAATTTCCAGTCAATCACATTGTCTGAGGCAATTGAACATCAATTACGAGACAGTCGATTTATGAGAATCAATTTTAGTGTTGAAAGATACTTTGCATACACACAATGGTGACTACAATACTTTTCTTCGTATATTTCGTATGCCTTTAAATGCATAATAAATGAATATAATAGTAAATTTAATGAATATAGATAATTAATATTAATATAATTATGACTATATACAGGGTTGTCCTCGTAACGGTCGCCACGATTTTTAAGGCGCTTACAATAATCTGACATAAAAAAGTCATAAACAGAAATTTATCAGTTTCTAACCGGCAACAAATTGCAATAATAAAAATTGACCAAACATTTTTTTTCCATAAAAAAGCAAGGTCATCTTTATTTTTTTAAATGGAACCCTCCTTTTTTATTGTATATTCTTGTAGTTTATCTTGAGAGCTTTCCAAAACACTATGATAAAGTATTTTTTTATTAAGTATTTTTGAGTTATTTTATATTTTAATCTGACATATTTTGGTATAAAAAATAAAATATCTCGTAAAATATTTAGTTTTCGATAATCTTACCTTAATACTTTTATGTTCAGAATAATGAGACAAATCAATTAGTGTAAAGAAAAAAACAAATAATTGTTTAAAAAAGTACATTGTAAATAATTACATACTTTTCCTTAAAAACAATTTTTTTTTTATACTAATTGATTTGTCCCATTATTCTGAACATAAAAGTATTACGGTAAGATTATCGAGAACTAAATATTTTACGAGATATTTTATTTTTTATATCAAAATATGTCAGATTAAAATATAAAATAACTCAAAAAGTACTTTATGAAAAAATACTTTATTATAGTGTTTTGGAAAGCTCTCGACATAAACTACAAGAATATGCAATAAAAAAAGAGGGTTCCCATTTAAAAAACGGAAGTTAATCTTCAAATGATCTTGAAAATGACCTTTAATGTCAAATCCAAGGTCACTATTAGATAGCCCCCTTTGTTCCCTACAACTTTTATCCGAGTCGTTTTCCTTCAAACGTTGATTCTGAAAAGGTATGAGGGTGGAACTTTTAAAATGGGACACCCTGTATATACAGGGTGGCCCCGAACGTTCCAACCAGACTTTGAGATCTTATAGGAAATTTAATAAACAAAAAACATGGGTCAAAAAATGCTTTCTTAAGAAGTTATCGCTGAAAAACCTCTGAAATCGTGATTATTTTACACATTTTTCCAAATATCATGGAAAATGTGCGTCTTTTAACAAAAAGTACCGAAACAAAAGTTGTAGAAAATTAAATTATCTTTCAAATGAGATCAAAATACTCGATGTATTGGAGGGGACATTTTGAGAACAGTTAGTTTTTTCACGTCTTTATTCATTTTCTATTACGTGCTATTTTAGTTTAAAAAAATTTATTTTATTTTTATAAAAGAAAAAGATCTTTTTTTTTATTTTTATAGTTTTTTCAAGAAATTTATTGTTTAATTTTTTTTTTTATTTCATTTTCTTTTCATCTTTTGCTCTTCCTTTGCATCAGAGGTTTTTGTATTTATAGATATTAAACTAATGTTGATAATACTATTAAATAACATTATTTATAAAAATACTTACGGAATTCATCTTACGAGTAATTAAATAGTCCGATTTAGTTATTGGTACTTTCTAATCATGTGTCATCGAAGCGAGTTGTATTGGTAACTAAACACTAGAGTCCTAGATTATCAGAGAGGCGCCAACTTGTTCCACTTTCTGATTGGTCGATTAAAATAGCCGCCATGTTAAAATATAAACGTCACACGTACAGCCTGATAGCTGTCAATCAAATGTGGTTGTGTTAATATTAAAAGTTTAAATAAGTGCATATTATAATTTCTTGTTACCACGGTAAGTAGAAATGTCTTATATATGTTATATATGAAGAAATTAAGCTGCACATATTTAAAACATATATGTATAATGTATATATATATATATATATAAAAGCACTACTGACGTTTGTGTCTTAAGATGGCGGCGGTGGGCATGGTGGGGGTAGAGTTGGCGCCTCTCTGATAATCTAGGATTCTACTAAACACACGATCAGTTACTGAATAATTCATTTGAGATTAATAATAATAAATTTTCATGTAAATGTCCGGATATAGGGACATGTCCGGCAATCGGTACTTTTATCTTACAAGATAAATTCTCGAGAGATTCTCTTTTGATATCCATGCATAATCATAGAAAAAAAAAATTCTCTAAACAAATTTCTGCAGCGAGATGATGCTGTTTTATATTCTGTATAAAATATATAATAATCATTTGTTTTTTCGTTTGATAAATGCTAATATTTTCTAATATTTTCTCCTTTTTTCTGAGCGAGCTAGTTCAAAATATGATACCACTATAATGTACATAATGCGCTATTAAAGATGAAATAAAATAATAGGAAATACGGAGAAAGAAATAATAATAATGTTTAAAATAGATCAATTATATCTCTTTTGTCTTCTGGTAAACGTATGTTTTCAAAAAAAGTAGCATATGCACTCTCAAGCAATAAACAATGTATTTTATTTGATACAAACTATAGTACAAAATTTATACAGAACAACGTACGGTTTTATCATTTCTCATATGACAGCAAGTGCTCATATCGAGCGAACGCACACACTTAAGCAAGACTTAAAAGAGACAAGGATTGGGGGGCGGTCGAAGGAACAGGACAGGGATAATCACTAAAACTGAGCACATCGATTTGTGACAATACAAACTTACTTGACACGAGCAAATCCATCGGTTGTTGAAGCGATTCGGTGTAGAAAAAAGATTGCTCGCGCACAAACACGCTGAGAGAGCAGAAAGCGCATCGTTTTAATACTCGCGCCGAAGACGACAACACGCTTCATAACACTTGAGACGATTAGTATATCGTCGGATATTCATCTGGATTCCATATGACGGTCATTGAAATCTTGTGCATTCAGCTAATAAAATGGAAAAACAAAAAAGAAATATATATAAAGAATTCGAATATACTCTAAATTTGACGATTTCGCTGGATCATTCAAAACTCTAAAATTTTATTTTCGCTTAATCGCAAATTTCGCTTAAAAATAGGACGCGGTTGTCTTCGGCGAGGTATCACAGAGAAAAAAAAAAAAAAAAAAAAAAGAAAAACAGATCATCCTTTTTTTCTATATCGCATCTGATTGTACTTAACTTGTGTAAGTAGAATAATATTTAATCTCTAGGTGCGACCCAACAGACCTATTCGGAAAACTACATGTTTCACATCTTTCGCCCGTATCTACAATCTGAACGATCAACGAGCCTAATTTGGTTGAAACGCGTGATATTTGTAATAAAATATATTTTTATATTACGATAAAATCGCGACACGCGATCGCGAAGCGTCTCTTAGCAGCGGTCGCATTCGTCAGAGTACATCAGAGTATAAAATTGGTCTTCAATGCGCGGCAAATCGGGTTTCCTTCGTTTTCGTCATCTAACTAAATTTCGCGCGACGCGGTAGAAATGTATGTGATTTACAAAATTAACGACGAGTCGATGATATGTGTTTAAAAAAATATTGTGACGCTTACACACAGATATAATCGCTCCAAGTTGATCGATGGAAAAGTATATGTAGTGCATGCATGCACCCATGTAAATCAACCCATGTATATCTTTCCTTGCCATTTCATTGTACTTTTTCCGATTTATGAGAGTTAATAGCGACATTTCCTGATGTGCTATCGTTGCTGCATCGTCAGCCGTTGAAAAGCATTACACGATCAAACGATCTCGAAATCAATCGAGATAAAGATAATTTATAATAGTAGAAGAATACAAAGAGCAAGAATTAATAACAATTAATGAATGAGAAGAGGTACCTAATTCGCGAGGACAATGGTCGTTTCAACCTAAGACTCTCTAATTGGATCACAAATAGCGGAGAGATCAAAATCCGTATACACGCATATAGATCGTAAGTTAAATGTGAGACGGCAGGTCAATGAAAATCTAATAAGATCTGATCTTTTATTAAAATCGTAATCTTCGTCTTGCAACATATATCACACATTTCGGGAGATAAAGTAATAGTACGTAATCCTTTAAATTATTATTTTACACTTTAAGAGAAATCTTTCTAATCCACTTATTACAACATTGCTATCCCTTCGATTGACTAAATTTCACATAGTTCCACGATCATGTAAAATATGGCCGTTGACAAAAGATCAGGAGGAATCATTTCCGGGGTTTCGGAAATGATTAGAAACTCGTGAATTTTGGTACCCCCTTTTTTCAATCACACTCGTACTTTCGAAAACAGTCGTTCAACAAAAAACACACTTCGCTACATCGTGTGTTCTCGCACACAATGTGCATTACACACACTCTCTCTCTCTCTCTCTAAATCACATTATCACCTATAAATTACTAATAGTGTGGCTTAATATTACATTATCTCGAGGTCTCGTCGTATATAACTTTTATTCCGTTACGACAAAATCGCTTCGCAGATCAGAGATTTATCTCACGAAGTAACTTTAAATTCGTAAAAAAAAAAGAGAGAAAAAAGATCAAGAAAGCGAAGCAGAAGAAAGGTCAGCGTGCGCCTGAGGCTCAGACCTTACATTCACAGCCTGACTGAGCACTCGGCTCTTTTTCTCTTCTTTTGCGGACTAAAACCCTCTCCGCCTTTCGCGTTATGTCATCTGCACGATACACTTTTCATTCTTAACGCACGTTTGATTCCGAGCCCACTAACTTACGACGAAGTGATATAGGAATAATAATTATTTCTTTTCTTCCTTAATTTAACGTTGACCTCCTTCTCGACGCGCAGCCTCGTGATTGTTGCATTTCCAGCTTAAAATAATTGAACTAATGTCAAGCCAAGTTATACATATATATATATATACGTTGACGAGAAGGAACATAAAGCGCCTGTCGTTGTTTCGTAGTAAAAGATCCGATAACGCTTACGTGAAATTATCGTCTTATAAATAATAAGTTACATTACCGAAATGACAAGATCGTTCTTCTCGATAAATGGAACGACGGTTGTAGACAAGCAATCGCAGCGATGATGAAAGACAGAGAGAAAACAAAGATCTACTCTTAGAACAATTGGCGTGACTATCTTAGCTCCGAAACTTCCCAATCTTCATCGCCAATAAAAAGAGATCACACACGATTTTATCGTCACGATAACATACCCACATAGATATCCTCATCCGGATTATCCGCTGCACTCGTATTACGTCTAAGAATTTGACGTACGCCAAATAAAGCGTCGCTAAATCATTTTTACATGGTGTTGTAAACAGGACTGCTATGCCTAGGCCTGACCTGTAGCCTAGCGAGGGGATGAGTTCTACCATGCTGCTGTTGCTTCTTGCTAGCTGCCTTCGCCACTACGCTGGCCACGACCATGCTGGGTGACGGCACCGCTGGCGGTCTACCGGGTGCTTCTGGCACCTCGCTAAACAGAGGCGCCGAGTGATTATTAATCATGATTGGCGCCGATCTCCTTGAGAACTCGGGGGCGATTTTCGATTTTGCCGGCGGATGCACCTCCATAGTATCCCAATCTTTGTCTTTGTGCGCGCGCAACTGCACGTCCGACGAGCTCTTCTTGGACTCTGGCCTCGCGACCTCGTACTTTCCCACTAGTACTCGAACGGAGAGATCTTCCGACGTGTTATCCTGCGACGATAACGGTGGCGTCGTTTCGCTTCTTCTTCCCGGCTTGCTGTCTTTGGTTTCGCCAACGCTAGACGACGACTGGATTTTAGACTCGTTGTGCGGAATCACCGGCGACGAGGGCAAGCTTCTGATCTTCACGTCCCTTTTGGACCGAGCGGGCAGTGACACGTTTTCGCTCTCACATGTGTTGTTCTCGGGGCTCCTTTCCAACTTAGTCGACTTTGCCTCAAATTCCTTTTTCAAATTTTTCACTATACCAGACGTGCTACGTGGACACTCTGCTTCCGGCGAGTCGTCCACAGAGAGGCAGCGCTTACTGAACATGGACTTGTTGCAGAGATTTTCCAAGACCATTTTATGATGTTTCACGGAGGGGCATTGAGGAGTATTAACGACACACGGACTGGACGTCTCGCTTTCCGACCTGCAGGACCTCAGGGATAGCGGCAGGTCGGATTCGGAAGACAAAGAGGACGGCGCTGGGGCGCTCGTGGATAGTCTTCCGATCTGACGTATGGGCGTAAGGGAAATGTCGATGCCTACCGGACTAGGCGAGTCTCTATTCGTTTCTATTTTAAGATTGTGTTCTTGACTGGGTGACGAATCTCTTCTTCGTGTCGGTGACGGCGACGGCATGTGATGCAACAGCATCGGATTGTACGTTTCGACCGCCACCGCGTCCACTTCAGCGGCCAGCCTGTCGCTCTTATCATCCGCGGACGTCGAGTTCTGCGTGCATACGCGTTTCACCCCGCCCACAGTCGTGCCTTCTTCCAGTTTTTGCTTAGTACGCTTTACCGTGCCCGGATGCCAGGGTATCTCTTCCTTGTCGTACGGAAATAGACCGCTGGAGCCGAGTAAATCGGATGGCCGCATATCGTAAGAACCCCAGGAACTGTTCCTCGACGGTAAGGTAGCCCACGAACTATGCACTGAGTTGTTGTCGAGAACCACCGCACTATCGTAACTACTCCAGGAACTTTGTCTGCTCGGAGATTCCCTTGTGACGGGAAGCTCACCCCGTCTCTCCTCGCGATCGAACACTCGGTCTAGTTGGGCGCTAAATGGATCACCGTCCTTCTTCGTTTTCTTTTCCAAGCTATCGGGATACGTCAACGTCGTTGCATCCGTTGCCGCACTCGCGATACATTCACTCTCCACACTCACACCTCCGACAGTTTGATTGTCATTACACGAATCAGCACATGTTGCATCCGCAGACACAGTCCAGACTAGACATTCACTATTATCGTTGACCTCGGTGGACTCCTGGCTCATCTCTTCTTTCCTCTCCTTCTGTTCTTCACCGGGATCCCAAACTTCCTCTCTAGAAGGCCTTCTGTTCGCAACGGAAGCCGCAGTCTCCTGCGATTCCTGCGATTGCTCGCAATGCGAGTGGCCATTTTCGATCGGTTTCGCGATATCCTCCGAATGTTGAGGCAGAGATCTCGCGTCCGAATCGGATCCCGGTGATGACGGTTTACTGCTGGCCGCTTCAAATTGATTGGTTAAATTGAGTACCAAACCCTTCCTCTTCTGTCCCTGAGTTTCCAACTTATTAATTCTATTCTTTACGCTAGGTGGTGTGCCAGGGGTGGGGGTGGGGTCTAGGTGCATTATCTTGTTCTGCGACACGCTGTAAGATTGCCCGTTGTCGCAGGGCATTAGAACATTGCGAGCCTCCTGTTCTATTGCCGGTTTTTGATTCGAGCCACGAAGCAGATCCTCCCGTGTGACTTCCGCATTTCCTGTCTTGTCGATACTTTCCAACGACTGCGATAAAGGAACTGCAACATTACATGATAAGCGAAAATGTTTGTTTCGAAATGTTTGTTTATAAATAAAATACATCTTTAACTAACTGCATTTTACTTCGATTATAAATTACTTGTCGCAATTTCTTGTTATTCGATATATTAGAACATTTTTATTAAAATTCGCTTAAAAAATAAAAAATACAAGTTTTATAATATTTATACTTTGTTCATCAATTGTCGATAGATCGACGATATCATGTTCGACGATAACAAGCTCAATAATTAAACAGATCACTACATTTATGATAAGATAATCAATTACAACGTCGTTAAATATCTGTTTAAGGAAACGTAATTCATTAAAGATATATATCAGAATAAAAACTCTGCTTACCGGAAGGTAACATATTCTCAGCGACTTTGACATTCGGTGACCAACTCTTTGGTCTTTGACTGCTTTTCTTCAACTCTGAACCCGAAATCTCCCGCATATTGTTCTCTATATTATCCGATTTCTCCTCCTTTTTTGACTGATTCTTCGCGGACGTAGGAGATTTCAGATTCGTATCGGACTTGGACCTCTGAAGTTTCTCTTTGTTCTTCATCGCATCCAAAATACCTTGGTACGTTTCCAATTGCAGGAGGAAGCTGTTGTTAGGTTTGATGCAATTGCGCTTCTCCTTGACGTGTTTCCACGCCTGGGAGAAATCCCAGTTGTATGCCTTCATCGCGTAAGCTATCACTACGGAGGCAGACCGGGACACTCCCATCTTGCAGTGCACCAACACCTTAGACCCTTCCATCTTTGCCTTGGTGATGTACTTGAATGTGTTATCCCAGTGCTTCAGCAAGTCCGTCTTCTCATCATCGTACACACGTACATTCAGATAAGTGAACATGCCCGGGAAGAAGTTATCAATTTCCCGAGTAACATTCAAGATGTGCCTTACACTGAAATTAAAAAATACTAATTAGTATTAAATTAATAGCTTAGTACACTAGGATCAGATGACGCATCTTGGTTGTAGAGAGATATAATTTTTGATTATAATATAAAAAATTCACGGAATTCTCTAGGTATTGGAGATATCAAATAACGAGTATTTTTTATGTACATATTGCATATGATGAACATATTATATCTTTATATACATATAAAGGTTCTTTCAAGAAAATATTAATAATAAATCTATATATGTATAATACTTGAAAGTGGAACGCAGTCCAAATTAATAAATTCTATTTATATGGAAAATTGATTGTTGACTGAATTATAAATAAAATATCAGAAATATATCACGTCACACAAGATTAGAATGGCTATAAAATTTGCATGTGATACGAAAATATGCAAGAAATATCTCGCAATCCGATCGAACGCACCCATTTTTCTGAAGTTCCTCTAAATTGCTGGCGTTCCACTCGCTTCCGAGATAAACGTGATCAAATATCTCAGTTGGCGCGTCCATTTGCCCCAGTATAGTGAGCATCTCTTGATCGATAAACGGCTTGAATTCTCCGAGGTCCATGTCAAGATCCTCTTCGAGACGGCCCCTAATGTACTTGGAGGTAACTTCATCGAGATCCACGGACATCATAATCTCTTTCAGCGTCGATCGAATCACGCGCTCGGTCTCCTCTCTCTCTCTGGGCCTATGTTAAAATAAACATTCTTATTGATATTTTACGGCAGATTAATCATATAAACGAAATATGTCAGATTGTTAGATGTACAATAAATGATTGTCTATCGATAAATAACAATTAATTTATTTCTATGTTAATACATAGTAACATAAATCTTTTTTCCTAAATATGGGCATTATTATATATTTTTGGTCACTTTACAATTATTTCATAATTCTATATAGATAGCTACACGAAACATTTACGGCATTATTTACGGTACAAAATGGGCTCGTAAACGTAAATAAAGAAATCGCGAATTAGCATATATTAGTTCCCCGTGTGCGTATTCAGGGTATCTACTTAAATCTTGTAAAACATTACCCTGAAAATCCCCTGATCTTCCAGGTATTTTTGTTCAAAATTCCAGGTAAAAAAATTGTTAAACACTTTTTGATGCAATTTCCTAAAATGAGTTCTTTTATTGTAAGCGTTTTCTAATGCTTTTTATTCATACAAAAGAAAAACACAAAACCATTTAAGTTTCAAGTGCTAGATTCACAAATGTACTAAAAATAAAACTGAATAGCTTTCGTTAAGATAAAATTTTTTAACTTGCATAACATTTTAATTTTTTATCACTAAAAATTAAAATAAAAAATATATATTACATATTTAATATTTTGTTGACATTGAATATATAAACAAAGATAGATATATATATTTATAATATATTTTAAACACATAATTCACAATATGGCTTATTGGGCGGACTGTCTATTGCTTACAGTATAAGAGCAAAATTATCAAAAAATTTTTTAAAAAATTCCCTGGAGCCCAACGAAATTCCATGAGAATTCCCTGATTTTTCCAGGTATAAAAGTTTCCTGAGAATTCCAGGTTTTCCATGTTCTTCCAGGGGATAGACACCCTGGTATTCTAAGGTTTCATAATACTGGAATCCAATAGTCGGAATGACCTAATGTCTCGAAATGTTAGCTCGAGAAAGGGTGGACAGACGTAGAAACTGGAAATAATTGAAGGACGGCTATAAAGTTACGCTCCACTTATAATGCACGCGACCCGGAGCGGCGCATAGACAGCCAAAGGGGACGCATCAACAAACCACCAAATCTGGCATGGCACCAAGTTAAATTCACGAGCCAGTGATGGCCAGCTGTTTCTCGACAGGGGGAGAGTCGTCTTATATATGTATATATATTCTTCGTGAATCGATATCGTCCGACCGCAAACGTATCGAGGACGCCAGCTAAATCGAACGTCCGCGAAATTGCCCGACGAGAAGGCAACACGCGACTTCTTACAAGAAATGCAGGATTTCCGCGTGCGATCTATTATCTCTGGCTGTTGGCCAGAGCGGGAGTTTTGTCTGCGAACCGTGATAAGAGTTTGATCGACTCACTTGGTGCGTACGCTATCCGGTGACGGCGGTCTCTTGGACTCCAGATTGTCCATGGCATGCCATTCGTTGAGGCACGACCGATCGCTCTCGATCCGTTGCTCATAGTAACTGACCCAGTCATGAGACAGTCCACTTAGAAAATAGTTTTGTTCGCGTGCCTTACTGGACACCTTGTGCAACGTCTGCAAGGCCGACCTGAAAAAACAACAACAAAAAACAAGAATATTAGAAGAATTCTTGTGAAGAAAATTAAAATCAAGAAACTTTGGCTTCGGTACTCGCGGAGGGCTTGTTTTGTTTATTCGTTTCATCATTCGACCTCGTTTTGCCCTAGTGTATTACGTTTTTTGTTAGATTAGCCAAATTACCGCTGCTGCAGTTTCACAATCGCCTCGTGACATTTCGCAAGCGTGAAGAAGTAAATCTATCAACGGGGTCTTCGGAAATCGACGGAAGGTTATGATCATCTGCGAGAACAAAGAAAGCACGTATACTTTCTAAACGCTGACGATTTATACAAGGAATATCTTTGTGTTCCGGATTTCGTTGGACAGCGAGAGTCAATCTTGCACATCGCGAGATATGTACCCCCTCGGAAAATTACCGTAAGTAGTAACTTTCCCGTTCGCCCCCTTTCTACTCCGAGACTAAGCGGTGATTCTCACGACGTAATGCTGTGTAAGGCAGCGAATAAAAAAATATTAGCCAATTGCTTGAGAATAGGGACGCAACGACGTCTCGCTTTAAATCTCTTAAAGGTGCGAGATGCAATCTATTGCGACACAGAAAGAATTGAATAAACATTAAAATGTAATGTAATTTTTAATATAATCATTATTTTTGGAAAGTGACGTATGAATAAAACTTGGGAAATTTTATGTCAAAACGAATATACTGTGCACGTGATTATATCAAGCTGCATTGCAGATTTGAGTTACGACATTTGCTAAATGATCTGTTCATATGTAGAGACTCATATATATACATGATGTCATCGATATAGTTCGCTAAGCAGTGCGTTGAAACGCTCAACGCTTCTAATAAAACAGATAATAAAACAAATCTTACAATGCTATCACAGTGATACGTATGTAAAATAATATGAGACCTAAATAAGATGAAAGTAAGTTTCACGATTCGCTCTGCTTATTTCTGTTTTTCTCTAACAAATTGTATTTAAAATACGAAAAAAAGTAATCAATAAGTTGCACAATTATAGCAGTTCAACGCACACAGATAGATATAATTTCAGATATTTTTCTCAACTCGTATGCTCTTAAAAGTAGATATGTACTTTGCTTCGTTTCTATCTTTTAAACTTGGCCGCGTTCGCTAACTGGTTTTTGCTTCAGATTGATATACATGTAAACCAGTTCAATCATTTCCTCCAGATGAGGAAAAAAGATTTCCTGATAAACATTATCTCCATCTTGTTTGTCTGCTACTTATCACATACTTATTACTAGTATAAATTATATTAATAAATTAAAAAATGCGGTATATAATTATAAGTTTCATTTGCCCCCCATTTATATATCATTAAGATTTTTATTAAACTTTTTCTGACCTCTAATGTTTTATGTATACTTTTACAAATTTAGTAAATCAAAATTTATTAAAATGGTTTCTCGTATAACTTTTTATAAAAATTATACGATAGCTCTATATACAGGGTGAGTTTTTTAACTTGAAACTGTAAAATATCTCGGAAAGTAAGCTTTATCGAAACACCTTGAGAAGGTCACTCTTGGTCAAATCCATATTTTTATCATGTGGCCCCCTCCGAACCCTACAACTTTTGTTTGAAACATTTTTTTCGATAAAGCTTACTTTCCGAGATATTTTACAGTTTCAAGTTAAAAAACTCACCCTGTATACTAAAAAAATATGAACAAAATTTTCCATCTGTGATGTCGACCATTATATATTTTATTTATGCACACCTAAAATGCTGTTGAAATTAAAAGTTTTATATTAAAAATTAAAACAGATTAAAAAAATTGTGCAAATTAGAAATTTGCATATTGTGTGTGTGCTTCCTCATAAAAGAATTTTATTTCGCTCACAAAGCTTACTTAAGCTCCTTAAAGCAAACGAGTTTTTCAATTTTGGCTTCCTCATAGAGGAAGCAAATTCAATACCAATTATCCTCTAATGATACTCTATAAAAATATTTAACTCGATATCTTAAAATTTGCAAAAGTTAAGATGTGTAGACATTTCTCAAAAAATACAAAATTTTATGAAAAATGAAGTCTTTCACCGTTCCTCACTAAATTAAATATCAAACATCCTTTAATAATACTCTATTCATGTAAAAAAATTTAACCCGATATCTCATATTTTCCGAAAATTACAGCGTGTACAGACATTTCTCAAAAAATTCAAAATTTTACAAAAAAATGAACCCTTTCATCGATACTCATCAAATTCAGTACCAACCATCCTTTAATAATACTCTATCCACGTAAAAAAATTTAACTTGACATCTCAAAATTTGCGAAAGTTACGTGTACAGACATTTCCCCAAAAATTAAAAATTTTATAAAAAATGAACCTTTTCATAGAAAACTGGAAAAAAAATTTTGTCACGAAAACAAAGCTTCCTATGAGGAAGCAAAATTAAAACGATTTTTAAAAAATGCTGTTGAAATTAAAAGTTTTAAATTAAAAATTAAAACAGATTAAAAAATGAAAACGATTTAAAAAAAGTAAAACAGAAAAAATAATTTTAGTTTTCGAACAAATAATTTCTCCTATTTCGCATTGGATAAATTTGACATTTGCAAAATTTTACTATTAATTTCTTTATATGTATAGTGTAATATATAATGAAACAAAAACTAAAACTTGATTAAGATACAATCTTGCCTCACTTATTATCGTTATTTGCGAATGCAGAAAAACTGATGATTTTTCATTTGCCCTTGACTGATTATTTCTCATTCATCCCGCAAGAATCTCTTCAAGATCAAGGTCGCGTACGGAACACAGTTTTTTTCCTTTTTCCATCTTATTACAACGCGAGAAACCACCTGACAAATGTTTCTGACGACATTCTGCGACCGTCCCGAGAAACGAAGAAATCTCGAACGTCGTTATCGTCGGCGCTCGACCATAACAGCGCCGTCACATAAGAAGAAAGCGTGATCAAAGATATCCCCCTTCGTCGAACAAGTCAATAATGTTCTTGGCAGAATCATCGAAACGTAAATCTTACGGAACACCGATTATCCTTATTTCACGCAGTTGGAAGTCTTATCGTTAGTGATCCTCGCGACATTTTCGATCCATTCCCATAATTGCTATGTCCTTTTATTATCTTCGAGAAACAAACCGTGATAACAAACTTAATCAAATGTTGGACACGATAATTAAAATTATAACAATTTGTAAAGGTACAATATTCGAAAGTCACAAATTTAAATAACGGCAACTTAATTTTTTGATCTTAAACTCAACTTTTTGATTCAGCTCCGCTCAAACTTCATACATAGGCCAGTTTCTTGATCATATTTATATCAATCAGACATAAATCTTTATTTGGAAATAAATGATAATTTTGAAATTAAAAATAATTATAACATAGAATATAAACGGATATTTAAAAAAATTTATAACTATTATAAGAACATGTACATTCTTCTAAAATGTACTTCGATTAAAACTGAAGATGCTGATCTTTTATTACATTTCATTCCTGATGCTTCAAGAGAACACGGAGATGACGGAGCAAGAGGATATATCGATTAGAGTTTAATAAAACTTCAGTTCAGAAACATACTTGCACGCTATCACGAGAATTTACGCTTCTAGCGGTTTTCGCGTGCAAAAGAAGGTAAGTTGAAGACCGCCGTAGAAACTATAAAGCCATAAAGTTCCAAGGATTCCAACGTCCAGGAAGTCTGCCGGTTTCTAGTGGGTTTCACGGGTTACTATCGGGAAAGCTGGTCATAGGCTTGCTGCTAGAAAACCGCTAAGAACGTACAATGGGCGCTGACTCTCAATAACAACGACGGGATTCATCATCGAGACATCGTACGCACGGTAACTGCCATTCCCTGTTTGACGCGAACGCTACTGCATTTCCTACATACTTTATTTAATACATACAGTGATTCATGAAATTGAAATCAAATGTGATGAAAATTTCAAAAAATTATTTAAAAGTTTATTATTTTACAAATATATTATTTGTATTCTTCTCTCAAATAAAATACAATAATTATAAAAACTTGTGTATATGTGTATGTATTTTATCTCTTCTCTTCCTTCTCGTTATTATAGCAAAAAATTTTTATGAAATTTTTAAAAACGTTTGGTCAGTTTCAAGCAATTTATGCTCGTTGAGAAAATAGAAGTCTGACAGGAATCTAAAGAAAACGAAGAAATTTAATCAACTATTTTTTGCAAAAAGTTTCCCTTTTTTTTTTTAACTTTCTATGATCTTGACTTAATAACGGACTTCATAAATTAGCGAAGTTGACAAAAAAGATAATAAATTGCTAACAAAATAGGATTCATTTAAAAATGAATTCTGAAATGGCTGATTCTCTTCAGTTTTGTAGTAAAACCTGCTATGAGAAAAAATAATAGAAGAATAAGATAATAAATGCTTTATTGCTAAAATCAGATAATTGACTTACAATATGAATCATGGCAGAACTAAAAAGAACTTGGAAAACTTTTCGATATAAACTAATATTGAGAATCAACGAATTATATACATCTCATATCTAATAATATTAAGATTATAATAATACTCTCTATAATAATTTATATGGAGAGTATTATAACGCCTAAAATGTAATACTTTTTAAAGATTTCAGGCAAGATATCGATTTAAAATATTAGATTTTTCATATAAGTTTTGATATAATCCAATATACGAAAAGAGAGATATTTCAAAATATTGATTATTCAATTTTTCGAAATAAGTGATTTTGATTTCTATTCTTTTCCATAAAAGAAACAGACAAAAACTTAATATTATTTATATATAGGTTTAACTATTTTTTCGCGGAAATAAACTTTTACTCAATGAACGCGTTAAAATAGAATATAAAATTGCAAATGAAGAATAACGGCATACATTGAGCTACAATGATGACGCTAAATATGTTGGAAATACCAGTCATGCAAGAAGAAGTAGTCAAGAAATAAAGAAGACACGTAAGAAGAAAATTAAAATGAGT